CCGGGAGTGACCCGGGAGCGGTACCGGGAGCGGCACCGGGAGTGACCCAGGAGCGGCACCGGGAGCGGCACCGGGAGCGGCACCGGAGCGGCACTGGAAGTGACCCGAGAGTGACCCAGGACCAGCACGGGAGCAGCCCCGAGATCGGTCCCGGGATCGGCCCCGGAGCGATCCGGTAGCGGTACCGGGAGTGCCCCGGGATCAACCCCGGAGCGGTCCGGTAGCGGTACCGGGATCGTCCCCGGGATCAGCCCCGGAGCGCTCCATTCGCGGTACCGGGAGCGCTCCGTTCGCGGTACCGGGAGCGCTCCGGTAGCGGCCCCGCCATGTGGTTCATGTACGCGCTGAGCTGGCTGTCGCTGCTGCTGCAGGTGGCCTTTGTCACCCTGGCCATCGGTGAGAGCCCGGCCCGACGTGTCGCGACAGAGCGGGGAGGGGGGGAGGGGGCCCCGCGGGTCCCAGGGTTGGGGGGGTCCCCGGGTGTCCCCAAACCCCCAGAGTGTCCCCAAGTTTGGGGTCCCCGGGTGTCCCCAAACCCCCAGAGTGTCCCCAAGTTTGGGGTCCCCGGGTGTCCCCAAACCCCCAGAGTGTCCCCAAGTTTGGGGTCCCCGGGTGTCCCCAAGCTCTTAAATTGTCCCGGGGATTTGGGGTCCCTGGGTGTCCCTGAACCCCCAGAATGTCCCAGGGTTTGGGGTCCCCGGGTGTCCCCAAGCTCTTAAATTGCTCCAGGGGTTTGGGGTCTGGGGGTGTCCCCAGGGATTTGGGGTTTCTGGGTGTCCCCAAAGGCTCAGAGTGTCCCCAGGGTTTGGGGTCCCCGGGTGTCCCCAAACCCCAAGAATGTCCCCAAAGTTTGGGGTCCCTGGGTGTCCCCAAGCTCTTAAATTGTCCCAGGGGTTTGGGGTCTGTGGGTGTCCCCAGGGTTTGGGGTCTGGGGGTGTCCCCAGAGATTTGGGGTTTCTGGGTGTCCCCAAAGGCTCAGAGTGTCCCCAGGGTTTGGGGTCCCCGGGTGTCCCCAAGCTCTCAAAGTGTCCTTGGGATGTGGGGTCTGTGGGTGTCCCCAGGGATTTGGGGTCTGTGGGTGTCCCCAGGATTTGGGGGGGGTCCCCGGGTGTCCCTGAGCCCTCAGAGTGTCCCCAAGGTTTGGGGGCCCTGAGTGTCCCAAGTTTGGGGACCCTGGGTGTCCCCAAGCTCTCAAAGTGTTCTCGGGATTTGGGGTCTGGGGGTGTCCCCAGGATTTGGGGTTTCTGGGTGTCCCCAAAGGCTCAGAGTGTCGCCAGGGTTTGGGGTCCCTGCATGTCCCCAAACCCCCAGAATGTCCCCAAGGTTTGGGGTCCCTGAGTGTCCCAAGTTTGGGGTCCCTGGGTGTCCCCAAGCTCTCAAAGTGTTCTCGGGATTTGGGGTCTGGGGGTGTCCCCAGGATTTGGGGTTTCTGGGTGTCCCTGAGGGCTCAGAGTGTTCCCAAGCCCCCCAAGTGTCCACAAAGTTTGGGGTCCCCGCGTGTCCCCAAACCCCCAGAATGTCCCAGGATTGGGGGGGGGTCCCTGGGTGTCCCCGAGCCCTCAAAATGTCCCCAAGTTTGGGGTCCCTGGGTGTCCCCGAGCCCTCAAAATGTCCCCAAGGTTTGGGGTCCCCGGATGTCCCCAAGCTCTCAGAGTGTCCCCAGGGTTTGGGGTCTGTGGGGGTCCCAAAATTGGGGGGGGATCCCTGGGTGTCTTCAAGTCCTCAGATTGTCCCAGGATTTGGGGTCCCCGGGTGTCTCTGAGCCTCCAGGGTGTCCCCAGCATTGGAGGTCCCCGACTGTCCCAGGGATTTGGTGTCCCCAGGTGTCCCCAAACCCCCTGAATATCCCTGGGATTTGGGGTCCTTGGGTGTCCCGAAACCTCCCTGATGTCCCCAAGATTTGGTGTCCCCAACTCCCCCTGATGTCCCCAGGATTTGGTGTCCCCAACCCCCCTGATGTCCCCAGGATTTGGTGTCCCCAGGTGTCCCCAGACCCCCCTGATGTCCCCAGGATTTGGTGTCCCCAGGTGTCCCCAACCCCCCTGATGTCCCCAGGATTTGGTGTCCCCAACCCCCCTGATGTCCCCAGGATTTGGTGTCCCCAGGTGTCCCCAGACCCCCCTGATGTCCCCAGGATTTGGTGTCCCCAGGTGTCCCCAACCCCCCTGATGTCCCCAGGATTTGGTGTCCCCAACCCCCCTGATGTCCCCAGGATTTGGTGTCCCCAGGTGTCCCCAGACCCCCCTGATGTCCCCAGGATTTGGTGTCCCCAGGTGTCCCCAAACCCCCTGAATATCCCTGGGATTTGGGGTCCTTGGGTGTCCCGAAACCTCCCTGATGTCCCCAAGATTTGGTGTCCCCAACTCCCCCTGATGTCCCCAGGATTTGGTGTCCCCAGACCCCCCTGATGTCCCCAGGATTTGGTGTCCCCAGGTGTCCCCAGACCCCCCTGATGTCCCCAGGATTTGGTGTCCCCAGGTGTCCCCAGGTGTCCCCAGACCCCCCTGATGTCCCCAGGATTTGGTGTCCCCAGGTGTCCCCAACCCCCCTGATGTCCCCAGGATTTGGTGTCCCCAGGTGTCCCCAAGCCCCCTGAATATCCCTGGGATTTGGGGTCCTTGGGTGTCCCGAAACCTCCCTGATGTCCCCAAGATTTGGTGTCCCCAGACCCCCCCTGATGTCCCCAAGATTTGGTGTCCCCAGGTGTCCCCAAACCCCCCCCGATGTCCCCAAGATTTGGTGTCCCCAGGTGTCCCCAGACTCTTAGGATGTTGACAGGATTTGGTGTCCCCAGGTGTTCCCAACTCCCCGGAATGTCCCAGGACTTGGGGTCCCCGAATATCCCCAGGATTTGGGGTCTCTGGCTGTCCCCAAACCCCCTGAATGTCCCCAAGATTTGGTGTCCGCAAATGTCCCAAAAGCCCCCTGAATGTCCCAGGGCTTGGGGTCCCAGAATATTCCCAGGATTTGGTGTCCCCAGGTGTCCCCAACCCCCCTGATGTCCCCAAGATTTGGTGTCCCCAGGTGTCCCCAACTCCCCCTGATGTCCCCA